TTTGAAGGACAGTGTGGAAAAGGCTCTTTTTGAGCTACCTTACCCAATGTAAACCCATTTCTCTGTTTCTTTCTAAAATACTACATCTTAACACTAGCCTGTCCCCATCCTGTATATGTCTGTGGCCAGAGGGGTTTTATTTCAATGCATGTAACAGTGTATGTGACAAATAAAGGTGTGATTGAATTCACCCAGCTGGAAAGCACTGGAAGTTCAGTCAAATGTTTTTCTATAGTGTTTTTATGACGAAGCCTTTGGTAAAAAAAAAGGTTAACTGTTTAGTTATATTGCAGTTATTACAGTTATATTGAGTTATTTACTTGAAGTTGAGAAATATTCTCACAGATGAGATCACAGACACTTCACAGACGTTTTATTTGGCGTTCGTCACTTAATGGAGTCATGAGATGAAAACAATAATCACTGAGCATTGATCTCTGTATAAAGCTCCTCACTGTTTATTCTCTGCTGTAATCAAACCTGCAGGAAGGGGATCGATAATCTCAAACGTGCAGGAACCGGGGTATGGATTACTCTATAAAAGCACACTGAATTCAAACGCAGTGATCAATACAATGAACCCAGAAAGTTATCACAGCGCTGCAGATGTCACACATTTTATGTTGCGCTTATTATGTGATGTTCTCACCATCATGATGGGATCTTGCAGCCAGAGCCGGATGAGGGTCGCCAGAGTGTAATACAGCACCAGGATCGTGATGGGGTTGACGTAGTGATGCCATTTCAGACCGGGGTTCACTGTCAGCTTCCACGTGGAGGAGCAGTCGGTGTGAATGATGGACGAGATGCCGAACACACTGCAGGGAGCACAGCAGCAGGATGCTCAGTGGAGAGTGTGGAATAATGAGCTAGATATTAATGAACGGGAGCATTTTATTTTGTTTTCATTATGTTGAGAACCATTCTCTGTTGTGTGTATGATAAAAGCAGTGCAGGTGAGGTAGAAGTGAAATGTACATTTATTGGTTAGCCGTTCCTTCCCTTTTCAGTTTCTCTTTTGTAAACTTCATTAAAGAAACAAACAGGAATGGTCATGTGAAGAGGAAAACAGGAAGTGATGTCATGAGCGGGTGCTATCAGCAGCGTCACTCAGCGGTCGAGCGGATCAAGGCGACGCGTCTTTCATCAGCTACAATTAGCCTCTGTCTTTTCCAGCAGAAACACACACAGAGGGGGCTGTGTGCCGTGCACCCCTCGCTCCTAAACTGCTTTTAGAACCAGAGCAAGAGTCAGACACACAAAAGACGGGATTACGACGTCTATTTTTATTTCCACGGATGCAATCGAGGGAAGGAGAGGAAACAGGAAGAGCCCAGACCTGCTCCTCTATTTCTGTCTGCTTTCCAGTTTGCACAGCACAACACAGATTTATTTACCTGTATGTGAAGATGCTGCGAAAAATACACATTTATACTTTGAGAAGGTAAATAAACTGCAACTTTATATAAAGAAAACATTTAGAGATTTTTAAAGAGATATTGAGGGATTCAAGGAACTTTCTTCTCATTCCGTTCGGATCCCGTATTCATTCTTTTCATTTCTAAATGTACATTTAATGAGGTCCTCCTTTCCTGAGCTTTGTTCTGCACAGAAAGTGCTGTTTCTTGTGGAAATAGAGGGACATTCTGAGGCACTTTTGACGATGTGCTTTTTTTCTTGCACAGTGGCTTGACCTGAACAGGTTTGTCGAAGGCTCCTGGACCAAACTTTCAGAATTTTTAGGTTTAATGCTTGGATTTGGTACATTTTAAGGGTAAAAATTGTGGGTCTTGAAGATTCCTAAAAAAAATTCAGGATTATTTTCTACATGTTGCACATTAGTTGTATAAAAACGTTCGGAACACTGCCGAGAGAGCAATTTTTAGGTTGAATTGCATTTTTCAATTATAGATTTTTAAAATGTATCTTCAGTGAAATGGGGATAAAAAGAGACGTGCTCATTGAAATACTCGCTTGCTACTCATTACCCTCTCTTTTTTAGAATAGGTGATGGGAGGTGCAACAGATGTTCAGTCGCTGTACTCCCTGGAACATAGCGACTCCTTCTTAATCCTTGTGTTCATCTTCAAAAGTTGATTTGAGATCTGCCTTTGTTTTTAGCCGTTGCTACTACAATGTGTGCCAGCGCCGTAGATCTGGAACTTGGGGAACTTTGTTGTCACTGACTCTATTAAATGTATTGTCCTGAAACTATCTCTGTTGTTCTCAACACGTGTTTTCACATTGGCCTCATGAAGAGAAACAGATATTCTGTGCAGTTGTAATGATTTTTTTGTTCTTTTTTTGTGTGGTGTCGTCCTCGTTTGCACATATTAGGCACCTCGCAGAATATCTGATGTAATCTGCTGCTCTACCCACATCTACAGGCTGAGCAGCTGAGGGAGCAGAAACAGATGCCGAGAGCATCCGTCAGCACCTGCAGATCATAAACACACACTTTACACGAGCCCATCCTCCTGACGTGAGGAAACAGATGGAAACCCTGCTGAAGGACAGAGAGCGAGGGCTAGACTCCCTCAGTGAGCCTCGCTCTGACCAGCAGCATTCTCATCATTGACTGTTATATTATCGACGCAGGGTTTTCATTCACTGAGGAAAAGAGGGTCTCATTTGAGAAATATTATTATTTATTTCACCAAGAGCTCGCTTTAATTTCATGTTTTCTGTCACTGGTGGATTTTTTAAATCTCTATGCTAATTACAAGCGAGGGCCAATCCTAGTTCAGACTGGCTTAGCTAGGATCACAACCTCTGAGAAACAGAAATAAATTAAAGTTGGGAATATACGTGATGTTGATGTAAAAGTGTACTTTAAACATAGAAATAAAGTATATTTCACAATCTACCAGACGGGAGTCAGAATTTATCAAAAATAAATCAATACATCATTTAATAAAATTGTATAAAATATACATAAACTGGTTCATTAATCAATTCATAAATGGCTAAATAAATGATGCAGTATGTACGCAATATATCTTTTTATTCAAATTAAAATAGCAATTTTATTTAATATTTTATTATACTGGAGCTGTATTTATAAAGCACCGCATCCCAACGTTTAAACCTTTAATACAAGAGGTTTTTACACAAATAAAATACAACTCAAGTAAATGTCTTTTACTAAACTAAACTAAACTTTAGTGCACTAGGGTGACTATTTGACCGTGCATGACTTTATTAAAAGATAACAATAAAGGCTTTAGAGTTTGCTATGAAAAGTGATGCAAACCTCTATTACTTTCCCCAGAGAAATAAATAAAAGGGAAAAAAATAAAAAGGATTGAAAATATGATTTGAATCTAGATATTTGAGGTAGACGACCTTCTCTTTTTGGCAGAAAGGTTGTAAGAATCAGACGCTACAGTAAAACTGAAACAGAGAATCTTTATTACGGAGAATTGACCTTTATTTATTTTAGAGAAGAATCTGGTAAAAAAAGAATTGTATGTACTAGCTTTTACTGCAGAAAGCAACATTTTGAAAATAATACTCTACGCGGGTCATTTGTATAGTGAATTTCGGGAGGAGGGGCCTAGATCTGCCACAGCTGCTGTCGGTTATGACGTCCATCTAACGCACACATAAGAGGGGTGATGCATTCCCCCGCTTTCCACCCGGACACCTCACTAGAGGGTAAAACCCAGATCCTATCTCTGTTCAGACAGCCTGCCCTCGTGAACAACATGAACGTCATCGTATCGCATCTCACCTGGAGTAGGCATCCCCGCGCCGGATGCTTTCCTGCAGGAACTGGAACTGGTTGATGTAGAGCAGGAGGAGGTGCCCGGCGCTGAAGATGCACATCAGCACACACAGGCAGCTGAAGAGAAGCTTGTCGAAGCTCCGGCAGAGAGACCACCACGTGCACAGAGCCAGAAACACGAAGAAGTACACGGCCGAGCTCAGCGACGGCAGCATCACCCCTGCGGCAGACAGCACACGCTCAACATCCTCACGAGATTCAGGAAGCGCTTCACTTAACAACAAACAGTTTCTGGTGTTCAAAATGCTTGAAACAATAACAAACGCTCAAAACGTGTTGAACAGTCTGAAAGATGCTAGATGGGTGGCTGTGTGGATGGATGGAGAAACAGATGGAAAGATGGAGGAGTGGGTTGATGGGTGGGTGGATAAATGGATAGGTGAGTGTATGGTTGGATGATGGGTGGATGGAGAAACTGATGGATGGATGGAAGGGTGGACAGATAAGTAGATGGATGGGTGGATGGAGGTCAACACACACCCGTCATTCCCAGGAGGATGGTCACCACCACCTGTCCGGCGGTGCTGATGAGTTTCCCAATGATCTCCTTCACTCTGGCTGCCACTCCTCCGACCGCTCGCAGGATCTTCATTTTGGTGCTTTCCTGAGGCTCCTCTTCCTCCTCCTCCTCCAGAGCCACAGACGGCTCTCTCTCATCTTCCTCTGCCTCGTCTTCAGCGTCAAAGTCCTCCTCAAACAGCAATTCTTCATCCTCGTCGTCGTCCTCTTCGATTTCGAGCTTCTCACTCTCCTCCTGTGGATGTAAGAGAGTAGATCATGTGACACTCCTCCTCTGTGTTCTCTGCTGTAAGAGGTCAGGGGTCACTAGGAGGCCAGCACCAGTAAACACAGAGGCTAATAATCCCAGATCGATCAATAACTGATAGAGGCGTCGATGCAACACGGTGTTACCTTGAGCTTAATGTTGCTAAGTGCTGTTTAGATTAGCTCTGATCCCCCCCTCTCTCTCTCTCTCTCTCTCTCTCTCTCTCTCTCTCTCTCTCTCGTCTGTGTTTAATGGCTGCAAGAACGGCCTTCAGCAGCGGAAACGGCTTCCTGTTCATAGCGGCACACACCAGCGAGTGTTTATCTAGAGCCTCTGTAAGTCCCTCTCTTTATTAAAGTCTCTGAGGGCTTGAGCTGCTGCAGCGTGCCTGAACATACGCTAGATACGGCACACCGTCCCGGAGGAGGCTCCAATGCAGCAGAAACATCCTGTGGCTCTGAGCGGTAGAGCGCTGTGCTAGCAACACAAAGGTCTTGGGTTCAAACCTCAGGGGAACTGACCAAACGTGTAAGTCATTCCATATTTTATTCAGTGGATGGCGTTCTATTCTTCTGAGCTAGTCCCAAAAGGTGTGACGGTCCTGGAGGGAGCGTGGGAGGTGATTCCAGGTGCCCTCACCCTTCACAGTTTGGTGGTTTCCGGGCCAGAGATCCCAAAGCACTACAGTTCTCAAACCCCCCCCGGTGGCCATGACTGAAAGGTGCCAACTCTGGTCTCCAAAGGGGAGCAGGTATCTAGCCGGACCCAGGGACTCCTCAGGACCGACAGAGACACTGATACGATGGCTCCCAGAAAGGACCTCCCTCCCTCTCTTCACTACAACAAGCCCTTTTTTTTTGAGTCTCTTTATTAGTTTTGTAAACACCGTACCGTGCCATTCATACCGCGGTACCGTGAAGCTTTGATACCGTTACATCTCTATTCATTAGTGATCAGTTTAAAAAGGCTTTAATTGAATTTATTTGTAATTTCATGTTCAAAAAGTTGAGCTAAATAAAGCAGAATTCAGCAATCACAGTTTTCACTTGTGTGAGTACCCGAGCGATTCGTACGTATGTTTCCTCACCTCTGTGTTTAGAGGATATTGTTGGTCGAAAACACAACATTTTGACTCAAAGTGATTTTTTAAATTCCTGCTCGTCTCTCGGGATAATCAGCATCAGTGGATTCGATCGGAAACTCGAATCGGTTCGATCGCAAATCATACCGTTGGTTCGGAACCTAAAAAAAAACGCACTACTGATGATGTCAGGTACATAATGAGGAAACGTTGCCATGGCGATTGTGTACGTGGGAAAATGAGTTAATCACTGCTCTTAAGAGAAGTCTCCTGATGGTGCTTCCATTGATTCCAAGTGGCATACTTTCCAGACTTTGGTAAACCCTGGTGTAATGTATGACCTTCATGTTTCACTAGTCACCTGATCAAACCCAAGGATTAAAAGTAATCTAAGTTTTCCGAAACAAATATTGTGTGCTCTGTGCTTCCAGTACCTCAGACTGGAAGTCCTGGTTGTCCTGCGCCATGTCTTCTGTGGTTCTGTGATGCAGCAGCTTTCGGCACAGCAGCCACACCCCTACGCTGGCCAAGAACATCCCGATGTCCGGCAGGAACACGCGGATACCGTTCCCTGCATCCGCACCGATGACGCTGCACACACAGCAGACGTGCAGCAGTAGTCTTTTGTTACGAGAATTATGACGACACCGGCAGCGTTCGTGTGACAAACATGAAAACTGACACTCAATTAAAATATCACAAAAAGAAAATCCTTCCCGGATGCATTGAAAAGGTTTTCAGCTGCCTCTCAATAGCGCAATATAAAAAAAATAAAATCTACTTATAGATTCATAGAAACAACAAAATAATTAAGTGTAAATCAATATGTTTATAATAAAACATACAATAAATGTTATTAATAATATTAATACATTTAAAAGTTACAATAACATTTTTTAAATATTACAAAATACATATTAATATTAAAATAAATCAATAGAAAAAAAACACTTAACAAACAATGGCAAAACCTAACATAAAAAGTAGCTGAACATAAAGTGAATAAGAGACAAATAAAACGTCGTTTAGCGATAGCAATCGCAGCACCAACACGCATTTCACAAACAAGCCCAGCATCTCCTGATCTCCCGTTAAACCACACGCCATCTGTGAGAGCGGAAAGCTTGAGATGTTTTTCCAGCAGCGTTTCCCAGTCCTCCACATCTGCTGAGCGCTGGAAGCTGGGTTTATGTGCCTCCCCGCCCAGTTCAATAAAATCAGACTGGGATCGTATTAAAAGCAGAATAAATATTTCTCGTAAAGCTCCCGGTGAATTCTTCTGAAAGTCACGCAGCAGCCAGATCTGCAGGCTCGCGCCGCCGCTGCTCCGTCATACGGTGAGGTGAATAAAGGGAAACATATGCTGCATGCGATAAACTCTAATGTTTGGAAAAACTTTTGATTACGAAAAATACAAACACCCTCCAGATCCAGAGCCTGTTAGATTTAACCATTAATTACACGAGCAAAAAACAATTACTCGTTCCTACTGAGAGCTGTGATGCATTAAAAACTAAACAGAACAGATTAAAATGTGACTTTATTACAACCAACGATAAGGAAATAAAGAGGTGGACACTGGTCAATACAGTGTGGCAAGAGCTTTTTACATTAAAACCAATGAGAAGCTCATTAAGTTACTGGACAATGAAACTGAAACAGGTGATTCTAGATGGAGGGTTGAAGCTGATTGGACACCATTTATCCAATGATTGCATTTAAAACAACCACTGGAAATAGTTTCGATAGAGTGTTTCACTTATATTGTCACATTTTTTCCAGCATTAGAAACTGATTTTGTTCCCATGCGAAATTGACTGAAACTGTTTGGGGTTGTTTGTTTTTTTGTGCCATTAGATGTTTCCACCAAACTTTGGTGAAAATATCCGGACGATGTCAACTTATACACAACGGTGTTAAATGACAATCAAACTCCTGATTATTTTCTGGTATTTCCATGATGTTGAAAGCTGAACTTCCTGTCAGTGATGCTCCGTGCTGATGGAAAGAGCTGCAGGTGGAGATTCCCGCACTGACAAAACCACAGTAATGTAATGAGCAGCAGAAACACGACGCGGAGCGCTGGAGAGTACCGCAGTCGTCGAGCGCTGAGTACTTCAGCTTTACTCTAGAGCACATGTGTCAAACTCAAGCTATGTGGATTTCTATGTGGGTTTTTTGACAAAAATCAAAAGGAGATATATTAGAACAAGAAAGAATACAATTGTTTCTCTGCAGCTGAACTATCACTTGAATAATAAGTTCTAAATAATGAGGGAGGAATGTAAAATAAATGTAACTACTCCTTAACGTTAAATGTTATACACTCGATTATGTAAAAGTTACATCTGGCCCTTTGAGGACAGCCTCGGTGAAAATGAGTTTGACACCCCCCCGCTCTAGAGCTCCAGAACCAACACACTGTCCTCCTGTTACACCTCTCTGAGGTTAATAAAATAAATTTTTAAAACGTATTCCATTAAGTATATTCTATACTTTAGATATACCAGTTGTAAGATAAATAATTATTATAATAAGGGGGATTAAATAATGATGTAAAAAGAATAAAATATTATAAATAAAAGGAAAAAATAAACAACATATACAACATATATTAAATAAACTATAATTACATAAAAGCAACAAAATTATATGTAAAAATAACAAGGAAATAACAAAGAAATCAAAATAAAATATATTTTAAGGTAAAATAGAATAAAATCAGAAATAAATATAACTGCAAGCAGTAATGCGGGCCCAAGCACCCAGTAGGCAAAACGTGAGCAGAAGTACCATCAAAATGTCAACCAAAGACACATGAAATCGACTCAAGGCATGGTAAAAAAAAAAAAAAAAGGCACTTCCTGTCAGTGATGCTCCGTGCTGATGGAAAGAGCTGCAGGTGGAGATTCCCGCACTGACAAAACCACAGTAATGTAATGAGCGACGGAAACACGACGCGGAGCGGAGCGCTGGACAGTACAAAAAAATAAATGCTATGTAAATATATAAAGCATTTATTAAATAAACTATAATTCAATAAATGCAACAAATTTTTTATGTAAAAATAACAAGGAAATTACAAAGAAATCAAAATAAAATATATTTTAAGATAATAAATTAGAAATAATTAATAAAAATAATGAAATCAAATTGACTATTACAATAATTGATACATTTAAATAAAATACAATCAATACAATAAACAAAAAGAAATGAAACAATAAAATAAAGATAACATTTTGGGTAACAAACTGAGGCTGTAAAAGGCATTTTGATTCATGACACCCAACCGCGACCCCCCCCCTCCTCCTCCCTCCCCCTCCTCTCTCTTTCACTCTCTTCGTTCACTTGATCTCAATCAACGCCAAAAAGAAAAATTTCAAGTGATGCAAACAAATTCAAGGAAGTTAAATTATAAACAAAAAGAGTTTATGTAAAATCTGGACAAAATAAAATGCAAACTATAAAAGAATAAAACATAAAATCTTAGATATTGCCATAAAAGTTGTTCCAGTTATGGTCCACTAAACCCAGAAACATTAAATCTCTTTGGAGGTCGTGATGTCAGCAGCCCTTTCTTCTCGTCCCTTCACTGCTTTCTATAAAAATCAGTCGATAATCTGCTTGTAGCTTTACTGTCTGGCCATAAAAACACAAACAGGCCGCAGGATTCTGAGCGTCGCAGCGTTTGTAGTGAAACCTTTTCACCTTCACTTGATAAACAGGCCTGGAGTAAAACCTTTCAGGAGAGGTTTATTACACTCACCTCTCGAAACCAATCTGTCGTATCGACTTCTCCCACAGCGAACCTGCGCAAGAGAAAGGATACAGCTTTATTTGAGAATTCCAGCAGAGCGGCTCAGAGCGAGCTCATAATGACACTCGCCGCTTCATAAAACACCGAGCCGAGACGAGCCGAAGCTAATCGTGATTTAAACAAGACAATTCTGTATGCTGCACTGGGGCCCAGCAGACGTTTAAATATCAATAATCAAAACTGGAAAAGTCATTCAACTTTTGGCGAACCATGAACCATTACATCTCTCCCTGAAGCTGATCATCGCTGATCCAGAACTTTGTACAATCCATATTCCTCCTAGTTCAAAACCGGCGTAACTTATATCAATCGAAATCACACAAGAGTGGATTGAGGTCAGAACAACCCGAGAAACGTTTTCTCATTTCAATATTTTCTGCACATTATTTTCTGGGACAATATGGGAGAAAGGTGGATTCTAAATCTATATTAAATGATCTAGATATAACTGTACACTGGGCCAGATGTGGCCCGGGATCCCTGTGCTTGACGTATGCACAGTAAAAGCTAAAAGATAAAGGTTTGAAAAAGCATTTCTGTAAACAATGTATTGTGAGAAAACGGTTTCAGAGCTGAAAAGATGATCACTGATGACCAAACGTCAGAGCAGACAGA